ATTATAGGAAATGATTGATGAAATGAAAACTAGCATACATAGGATAGCTAGATATACCTTGATCTTGTACAAGTGGCACTAGAACCTTGCTTCTAATGTCGATCTCACGAGGTATCTAGTTTGTCTTTGCTTTTCAAGTGATATCTAGCAAATCATGGCGCTAAGGATAGTGTTTAAATGGCAACTCCGATTGGTATCATGCTTCAAAGGTCCATTCTTTACACCTTATCATTATTTGGTAGCTATTACTCTCAAACTTCCAATCCATGCATATGTGCAAGCTTTCAAATCCAAACTCTTAGCACATATGTAGGGGGAGCTAATACTACCAAATTGGATTGATGAAATTTGTCCATAACCTTTACACATGGTAAAATGCTTGGGCAAGCAACATGAATCCAAAAAGATTTTATTGAATATCTTTGTGAAAAGTTTGTCATCAATTACCAAAAAGGGGAGATTGAAAGCCCTAGTTTGGTTTTGGCTGATTGATGAAACCTAAGTACTAACCTTTGTCATAAGTGTCATGTGAGCAAGGTTGATACATACCAAGTGATGGAGCATGGTGATGAAGTCCATGGAGATGGAGATGGACATGCGTTGATGATGATCAAGCTCCAAATTGAAAAGAAGAAAGAGAAAAACAAAAACAAGGTTGATCAAGTCAAAGGTATCTAATAGATTTTTGTTTTGGCACTCAAGACACCATAGATGGTGTGGGTGTATTTAGGATCAATAGCCATACTATAAAGAGGAGAAATCTTTGGCTAAACGGTTTATAGAGTGCCACTAGGTGACATGATTCATGCATTGCATTTAGAAAACTAGTGTGCTAACTTTGACCCTTGTAAAATGCTTTGAAAAATGCTAACACATGTGCATACAAGTTCTATACTTTGTGGTTAGCAACTTGAAAGCAAGGGTGAAGTGGTTGTGGAGATATAAAAAGAAAATGGAGGAGACAACAGTGACCGAACTATGACGTCGAGGTGACCGGACTCACCCCAGGCGCGTCTAGTCAGGCAGCATAGAACAGGAGGCGTTCGGCCTCATGATCGGACGCACAGGGGCATCGTCAGGTGTGTGCTAACGTACGCTAACGTCAGCCTCGGGTGAGCACGTGTTACAGCGGTGCACTGACCGGACACACGGGTGTGTCAAATCGCCTCTGACCTGACACGTCCGGTCACATTTTTGGCGCTCTAGATCGTCTCTATAAATGACCTAACGCTAGGACACCATGAGTCCGGTTTTTTCACAGAGGCGAGTCCGGTCATCACTTAGTGCACGAGCGATCAAAGTTTTGACCGTTGTAAATCAACGAATGACTTTCAAAAGCGAGACACATGACGGCGATCCGTTGACCGGACGTTGGAGGCGCGCGTTCGGTCACTCTAGACCGACATGTCTGGTCGCCCCATGGAAGGCAGTAGTGAGAGCCTAACGGCTCTATTCGTTTGGGGACGTCTATAAATAATGTTGGCCGGATCCAAGGCATTTCTCTTGGCACTTTGACATACTTAACATCCTTATGAGTCTAAGCAAACACCTTCCACTCATCTCCTTCAATGATTCGTCATCATAGTGAGATTGGGAGTGATTCCTAATGCATTTGCTTGAGTGATTACATCTAGTGGCACTTGAGGATCGTTGTGGCTGCGGATTTCTTGTTTCTCTTGGTGGTTGTCGCCACCTAGACGGCTTGGAGCAGCGGAGGAGCTTCGGCACATGTTGGTGATTGTTCGTGGTCGGCTCCGTTGATTGTGAAGGGTCTTGCACCTTTCCCGGTGAAGAGCCGCAAGGTAGCTCTAGTAAATTGCTCGTGTCATTGAGTTACCTCACTTGTGAGTAGGTTCTTGATGCACCACTTGTGGTGGGCTAGGTGTGTGATACCTATTACCCGCCGAACCACCAAGTGTTGGTCAACACAACGGGGACTAGTGTGCCGGTAAGCACGTGAACTTTGGGAGAAAAATTGGTTGTCTCTTGCCATTTGGTATTCTCCCGGTGATTGAATTGGTATTCATCTTATGATTGGTTCATTCCTCGACGTGGCGGTAGAATCACCATACTCACTCTTTTACATTCCTTGCAAACTAGTTGTCAAGCTTTTTATCGTAATTAGTTTTGAGAGCTCGTCTTGCTTGCTAGTTTAGTGTAGACTTGTTGAGAGCTCTTAGTGAGTAGTGACATAGCCATTGTTTGTGCCTAGTGATCATAACAACTAGAATTATTGAATAGGTGGCTTGCAACCCTCATAGAGCTAGAGCAAAATTGTATTTCACCATTTAGTGTACTAACCTCTTGCTCTAGTGTATTTGTAGAAATTTTTATAGGCTATTCACCCCCCTCTAGCCATTTAGGACATTTCAGTGTTGTTAGAGAGCGAGTCTTGAAATATAGACTAGTGAACCTAGAAGATCAGAAAGATCGATATTGGTGGCAAAGAGCTCATGTATTACGGCTCGAGAAGGGTGATCATAACTCGAAATTCTTCCACTACTTTGCATCAGAAAAGGACGAGGCAGAATAAAATTCAAAAGCTAGTGATGGAGGAGGATGTTGTGGTGGAGGATGATGTGGGTATGAGAAATCTGATTTTTACCTATTACATAACTCTTTTTGAGTCTCATGCAGGTGATCACTACGAGGTTCTCTTGCAACATATGCCATTGAGAAGCTCTATGGAGATGAATGGGAGGCTTGGTAGGGAGGTGAGTAGTGAGGAGATCAAGGCGACGCTGGATGGGATTGGTGATCTCAAAGCGCTAGAGGCGCATGGAATGCTAGCTCTTTTCTATAAACAGTTCTGACATATTGTTGGGGGAGACATTGTACGGGAAGTGAAGAATTTCTTGCAAGGGGTGAAATGCCTCATGGGTGAATGACACAATGGTGCTGCTAATTCCAAAAGCCAAGAATCCAGATAAGCTCAAAGATCTCAGGTCAATTAGCCTTTGTACTATGGTATATAAAATTGCATCAAAGGGTCTATCAAATAGGTTAAAATGTATCCTCACTTATATCATATCGCCAAATAAGAGTGCCTTTGTACTGTGATGGAATGTATGACTTCTGTCTCCTATAGAGTGAAGTTGAATGGATTACTAACTAAAGAGATCAAACCTGAGTACGGCTTAAGACATGGCGATCCAATATCTCCACACATGTTTCTAATATGCACTAAAGGCTTCTCTTCACTGCTAAATGTTGTAGAGGCGAGGAGCTGGCGGGTGTGAGGATTTGTGCTAAAGCACCGACTACCAACCATCTTTTGTTTGCAGATGATTCATTGCTACTTCTGAAAGCTAATGAATGAAGTGCACGACACCTGCAGAATGTACTAGATTTGTATAAGGTATGCTTGGGGCAAACCATCAAGGATAAATCTTCAGTCGTGTTTAGCAAGAACACCAGAGACAACGATAAGAGGGAAGACATGACCACTGAATATTGGTATAGAAGCTAGAAATAAGAAGTATTTGGGTTCTTCGAGTGTATGTGGGCCGCTCAAAAGTAAAGACTTTTACCTATTTGAAAGATCAGGTGTGGAAAAAGATCTAGGGATGAAAACAGAAGCTGTTGTTAAAAGCGGGCAAGGAGATCCTAATAAAACTGTAGCTCAAGCTATACCATTATACGCAATGTCTTTCTTTGATCCTACCAAATCCTTATGTGATGAAATCAATACTATGATGTGTTGTTATTGGTGGTCACAACAAGATAAAGAAAAGAAAATGCATTGGTTATCTTGTGATACTTTATGTAACCATAAGGAAGAGGGAGGCCTGGGCTTTCGTGATTTACACCTTTTTGACGTAGTAATGCTCGCTAGACAGACTTGGAGACTACTAGCTGCACCGGAGTCATTGTGTGCTCAAGTGCTCCGAGCAAAATGTTTCAACATCGGTGACTTACTCAGTGTGAAGGAAGATCCTTATAGTAAGTGGAATCAAAGCACTTAAGGAGAGCTTTGATATGGAGGGTGGGTGATGGGACCACGATGATTATACCGTGGATTCCAAAGGTGTCACAAGAAGGCCATACACCGAAGGGACATATTCTGGTCACCTGTATTCTGGTCACTTGTATAAGGGAGCTAATTTACCCGGTAATATGAGATTTGGGATCGGACGCTTGTTAGGGACATATTCTTGGAGGATAACGCTGAGTTACCCGTTAGGAAAAAATAGAATACGAGGCATAGAGATTGTTGGACTATTTTTTTTGCCATATAATCGCTGGAACGGGTTTTACGAGGCATTTAGACGAGTTGCTCAGCGGGGTGGTGTTTAAATCCAGGGCCTAAAGTTTAGGGACGTCACATCGAATGTCATATCGGGGTGTCACATGGGAGTGTTCCGATAGTAATAATAAAATAAATTACAGAAGTTCTCAGTAACCCGTGAGACGAATTTAGTAAGCCTAATTAATCCGTCATTAGCACAGGTTTACTGTATCACCACATTGTCAAATCATGAGCTAATTAGGTTTAAAAAATTCGTCTCGTAAATTAATCGTAATATGTGTAATTAGTTATATTTTAGTTTATATTTAATACTCTATGTATGTATATAAACATCGGATGTGACAGGGGTAAATTATGGGCGGAATTTCTCTCGCGTCATCTAAAACTCTAGAGTCCCACATGGCAGTCAGTCCAGTCGGTCACCGCCGCGTCGCCCGCGGGCAGATCATGTTACGTTACCGCGTGCGCGGCCTCCACCCCACCTCCATCACCAAAAACCACGCGCTGCGGCGGCGGCAGTGAGATCGAGCGAGTAGACACAGGAGAGCTGCAACCATTTCCCCCTCCCTCCGCGAATCACCACCCCACCGGGGCCACCTTCCCTCGAGGCGCTTTTGAATCAGCCTCCGTCCGGCTTCCCCCAAACGCCTTCCTTCCACTACTGCTTGGCATCCTCGGACTCGCACGCAGTTAGATCACGCGGCTCGCCTCCACTGGTTACTGACCTAGGGCTCGCCGCGAGGGCGCGGCGATGTCGTCGTCCAGGCGCCGGAGGGGCGGGGGCCCCGAGCGGGCGGCGGATAACTGGGAGCGCCTCGTGCGGGCCGCGCTCAAGCGGGACCGGGACCACCTCCGCTTGGGGGGAGCCCCGGCCGCCGTGGGAGGGCAGAGGCTCGCCGACGCCGTGCCGGCCTCGCTGGGTCGGACCACCAACATAGAGCAGATCCTGCAGGCCGCCGACGACATCGAGGACGAGGACCCCAACGTCGCCCGGATCCGTGAGCCCCTTCCTCCCACGTATCTTTACCTGTTTGTGTGTGTTCGCCTAGTTAACACTTAACAGGAGTGCAGTTCATGGATGGAGCTGGCAGCTGATTTGTTTGGGGTAGCTCTGGATGGGGGTTTTGGAGTCATTGATTTGGGGGATTATCAAGTCCTGCAACACTGCCTTTCCTGTTGTCCTGCCGTGATTGCCCATTACTACCTGCAGTGCGTGCCACTGAGTAAAGGGGAGGTTCTCAGTGTTGGTAATTTGTGGCCAGGTGTAGTGCTGGGTTCTAGCTAATTTGGTTATTTACTGAGGTTTTAATGTTGTCGCCGAGCAAGGTATGGTTGGCTGGTTTTGATTTCAAGCAAGGAGGGCTTGGCGTTGTGACTAAGAGTGATCAAACGGCGGGGCAGAGGGGGGGGTTCAGGTGCTATTTGCTAATGCTATGTATGAGTGCACGTACTCACAATACCTAAGGTTTAGGGTGTTTCTGGCTCGTGGTTCGGTTGGGTTTGTGCGATGGGAAAACACAGCAGGCCGTTAGATCAGAAGAGACAAACAAATTGTTCCTTTCCAGGGATTTTTGATATAGGGAATCAGTTTATTTTATTAAAGTTGGCACTTTGGTGTTCTTTTAAGTCACTCCTTTTCGGCTTGCACCACAGTTTGTGAACAAGCGTACACGATGGCCCAGAATCTGGATCCCAGCAGTGAAGGTAGAGGGGTTCTTCAGTTCAAGACAGGTTTGGCATCTGTAATCAAGGTATGCTTTCTTTCACTGTAAACATGACTAGACATACTTGTTACTTTTGTTTCTGCTTAGTCTTCTTCTCAGTGAATTATTTCTAAGTTTCCCATGTTCTAATCATGGCATTCCACAGCAAAAACTTGCTAAAAAGGACGGGGCTCTAATAGACCGACAGAATGACATTCAAGTCCTGTGGAACTTTTATCTTGAATACAAGAGTCGTCGTCGGGTTGATGATATGCAACGTGAGCAGGAGCGACTGAGGGAGTCAGGAACCTTTAGTACAGAGTATGCCCTCTCTTCTGTAAAAAAATTCATGATGTATTTTGTTTTATTTGGGTTTCCCTAGTGATAGGGTCTCAAAATTCTTTGTGACTCTGATCAGCTTTTGCCTGATAAAACTTCTAGTTCTAGGTTAGCATACTTTTACTGAAAGTGAGGAATCCATCCATTTCTGTTTTACTAGTCATCAGCAACCATTAATTTGATCTTTTGTAAATAGTATTTTTCAAGTTCACTTTGCTTCAGACCTGCATACGTTTTGTTTACTGGATGTGCCCAAAAACGACATTTGTGTCATCAGTCTTTATATAATGTAATGAACTTGTGGTAATCCTAGAATTGACAGGGATAGATACATACTGTTTGTTGCTTGTTTATTCTCTGTGAATTCTTTTTTTCATGCGCACTCAGTAGTCAGTAGCTCATTTGCCTTCTTATTGTTGAACAACTAAGCTATGTGGTGCTACTATATTATGTACCACATCTTTTAGAACTTTGCTCTCTGAAGTTGATACTATGCTATAACATCCTTCTCTTTTTGGGTTTTCCATCAACAAGAAATGGGATTGGGTGATCTAGTCTAATCTGTTCCACTGGAGTGGAATGTAATTTGTGGTGCGAACACCAAATCTAGTTGTTTAAACCTGATATATATGCTTACTGAGCATTTGTTATATTCCCCAGTTGTTAATAAAAGGTTAGTCTATGCTCCGTCCAGTTTTGCCTTCTGAGTTCTGATGTGCCATATGTTTTTGGTTACTCTTTGCCTTAATGTACCATATGTTTTTGGTTACTCTTTGCCTTAATGTAATGGAAACAGATCTATCTACTACCTTCCTCCTAAATATTGTATCACTCTCAGGGCTTACCCTGTTATTTTATTCGTTAGAAATCTTATGTTTGTTACTATGTGTCTCATGGCAATTCTATTTTCCTTACTATGATCAGGATGGGAAATAGGGCAAGGGAAATGAAGAAAGTTTTTGCTACATTGAGGGCTTTGCTTGATGTTCTGGAAAATCTTGTTGGCCAGTCACCAACTGATAGACTTCATAGACAAATTCTGGAGGAGGTAATTCATGGCAGAACTCATGACCCTGTGAAAAAAAACGTATTTTTTGTATGTAGTTGTGTCACTGGTGCACTAAAACCCTGTGACAGTAATAGTATTTGCTTCACAAGAATAAATTGACGTTATATAAAATGTACCATTACTCTTCTCATCCTCCTTTTTTTTCAGATAAAGAAAATAAAAAGATCTGATGCAGCCTTGAGAGGTGAACTTATGCCATACAACATTGTACCCCTTGATGCACCATCTTCAGTGGCAAATATTATTGGGTTTTTCCCTGAGGTATGAATATGTACTTTCGGTTTTGAAACACCAATATTGATTATAAATTTGTGCTGTACTATGCTTTTAATTTTTAAATGTAATATTGCCATGGGCTTTAGAAGTCCTTTGAATCAATTACAAACTCTATAAGACGTCATTTTCATATGGCATATTTACATAGAGACATCACTGGTCAAATTTACAATCTTTTACTTCAAGTTCACTTGGTCGGTACTTGATGGGTTAAAATAATCATACATCATGCCATTCCTATAGTCCAGTTTCCTTTTCTCATTGCTGGAGCAATAAAATGTTTTTTGGAATTTATATGTTGTTAATGAAGAGCAGAAATTTAGGTGGTAAATAGTCCAGAGTTGTCTATGCTGGTACTCAAGGACTCGAGAGCTCTTTCATTATTTTGTTATAGCTTAACAAACAAAAGAAATATCTTTGTGTTGATGAGAACTATTCCATGCAACTGTATCAGGTCAGGGCTGCAACAGCAGCAATTCAGAACTGTGAGGACCTGCCACGATTCCCTTTTGATACACCCCAGCTAAGACAAAAAGACATTTTTGACCTTTTGCAATATGTTTTTGGCTTCCAGGTACATATACATACTTTTCAACAGTTTGATATTAGATCTTTTAAATGTTTTGTATGGTTTATATTTTATCCTGCATGTTGCCATATGGAGCAGTTAAAATTGTTGCTTGTTCTTATTCATCTATTTTATCCTGTATGTTTTTATAGATTTAGCTAATACTTGCTATTATGGAAGAATTCTGTGCCCAAATCTCGCATAATGCCAATAATACCTCTAATTTTCTTAGACTTTGGAACTGTCAAATGATTAGACCACTAACTGGCTTTGACAGTTGACATCTTCCATTTATCTGTTGACAAGCCACCTTTAAGTCTTGGCTCTCTTAAGACACTGTGTTACTCTGTTATCTTCGGTATGGAAATGGACAGTTTGATTTTGTGCAGATTGAGTAAGTGATGGCTTGGACATTTTGAACATTTTTCATAAACAAGTTAATGACTAAAACTAGTGCCATGATTTGCCGTAGAATCTTTTTCAAAAGTTTGAATGCTTGGTCCGTTGACTTTTGTATTATATGGCTTAATGCTAATCAGGAAACTTTTATGGGATGTTTTTCTTTCTCTCTACATGCTAATGCAATTGTTCACCGTCAATTTGTTAATCCAATTTTGTATTGGCTTTGTATTGACCATCCACTTTGGTTGAATGATTGTTCCAGGAAGATAATATTCGGAACCAGCGTGAAAATGTTGTACTTATGTTAGCCAATGCTCAATCCTGGCTAAGCCTGCCAATTGGGTCAGAACCCGTGAGTTCTTCTGCTCTTTTATTATGTAGCTTATCTACTAGTTCTGCATTTTGTAAGATTTTTAGATCCAGCTGATGTTATACTCTATATGTTATATTAAATAGGTGTTGTTGGACATTAACAAGGTATCAGTGTTTACCACAAACCTAGTCTTGAGAACTCTTTAAACTGTAGTTGGGTGATGGGTCTCTCATAGTGGCCTTGGTGATGTATTTTTCTTCTATTGTTTAGCTTTCTTTGAAATTCATTATTCAGGTAAATTAAGCTCGGTCTAGAACAAGGAATAAAAATCTGAATAATCAGCCTTTTTGCGTTTATTAGTTGATCTGGATACAAATTTAGGGGCTTATTACCTGTCAGTATAGTTTTGCTAGTATAATTGCCTTACAGAACAGAAGTTTTGCCATAGTAACATCACATCCTAATTCAATGATATGCAGATCATCTGCGTATTCGAGAAAAGAAATCAGATCCTGAAGTATTGGATAAGTTATTTGAGATACATTAGCATTACTTAGTAATGCCTATACTAATTGTTGTTGTCTAGCATTACTTAGTAATGCCTATACTAATTGTTGTTGTCTAACATGTTTCTGGTAAAAGCTCAGACAGTCACCATGTATGGAATCTTTGTCATGGCCTTCTGTATCCATTTTCAGCAAGTTCTCTCTGTATATATGCACCAGACACTAATTGGGGCTATGATCCTTGCAGAAAATTGATGAGATGGCTGTTACTGAAGTTTTTTGCAAAGTCCTGGACAACTACATAAAATGGTGTAGGTACTTGGGCAAGCGTGTTGCATGGACCAGGTGAGTGTGTGTTGTGGGTGGGTGGGTGGGGGGTGGTGCTTTCCTTGTGCATGCTACCATCTTGTATGATGCTGACCAGTTTACCTTCTTTTTTTTAGCCTTGAAGCAGTAAATAAGAACCGGAAAATCATATTGGTTGCCCTCTACTTTCTGATTTGGGGTGAAGCTGCGAATGTTCGTTTCCTCCCAGAATGCATATGCTATATTTTCCACAATGTGAGTCAATGTTTGATCAAGTGCTGGTCTTCTCTTTTCTTTTTTCCTTCTAAAAAGCACAGGATCTTCACTTCATTTCATTATAGAAGAAGAAACATTTCGTGTAGTTTAGAAATGTGTTCATTATGGGTTGTACTTTTATGTTGATAGTCTTGTTAGTTTGTTGATGATGACTGACATGGTTAATGTTACTAATCTTGGGGATCTGAGAAGATTAGCTCTCCATTAGAGGAGATGACTCTCTATATATAGAGAGAGCCTCATAGGGTATATGGGGCTATAGGATGGGCCTTGACATATACTTGCACCCTCCTTCAAACTCAAGGTGAAAGTGGAGGATCTGAAGCATTAAGTTTGAGCAAGTGAAGCTGATGGCACTCTCTGTTAGGATTGATAGTGGTATATGGAGCTGCTGTGCTGCTGCTGCACTTCACTTGTGTGAGGATGTGGAAGGCTAATTTTGGCTGCTAGATGCTGCAGCTGGCTGGTGCATTCACCTCTCATTTATAGCTGAAAAGGGGTACAGAAAACAGCCCTATTGGCTTACTTACAACCTAAGAAAAAACCTTGACTTGCAGCCTAAGATTTATACTAATTACATGCCAAGAAAACTTATAGACCAAGCTAGGAGACTAGCTGACCCAAGGGTCAGCTGACCAGACCTATTATGACTCTATTAGCTAAGCAGAAGACTGACACAAGGATTATTTATCTATCTGTCGGTGCAGAAAGTGACCAACACGTAAATATTTGTAGTTTTGCCGTACGTTGTGATCGGAGGTGGCCTAACACTCAATGACAGGGTTTATACTGGTTCAGGCAACGTGCCATACGTCCAGTTTGAGTCGGTCGGTGACTTTATTCCTGAGCCCAGGTGCTCGAAGTCTGCAGTGGGGTTACAAACGAAAAGGAGAGAGAAGGGGTGTACAAGAGGTCCGGTTGGCTCCGGTCGGAAGGGCCGGGAGCGACAGGAGCTCTGCTATGAGCTAAGTGTTCAAGCGTGTGCTTGAGGTCCGAACCTGGCGGTTTTGTGGTGTGAGCTAGTGAGCTTGATCGATCTACTGAATGTGGATTGACTAGGATGACTTGTCTGAGCTTGAATCAACTGTCCTTATTAGGAGAGAGCGCATCCCCTTTTATAGATGAAGGGGATGGCCTTACAAGTGAGAGGAAGATAGTTTGTATGTTTCTAAGTCTTGCTGCCTACGATGGCGGGTACAAGACGACTGTAGATGCCCACAACACTGTTGACGTCACTGTTGAATGTCAGATGCACGTGGGAGGTTCGTGCCATCTTCTTTGGGCGCGGCAGACATCGGCGCCTGCCATACTGTTGATTCCTGGAGGCACGCAAGGGGTTTTACCATGTTCCCGGTATGGTAAAAGCCGGCGCCCACAACACTGTCGATGCCCAGAGGCACATGTGGGGCCTTACCGTATGGGAGTTCAATGACGCCCACAATACTGTAGGGAAAATGTCGGCACCTACAACACTATTTGTGTCAGGACGGTTGCGGAGCACTGTTCCTGCAGGTGGACAGGGTACGTTCCCTGGCATCGTGGTTTGACTTGTGCGCCTTGCCTCGCTTTCTCCGTTTGTTTCCTGGTCCCTTCCGAGCGGGCGTCCCCGGTCGGCCGGTCCCAGTCGGCTCCGACTGCGCTAGTCGTAGAAGGGCAGCAGGCTGGGTTTCGGCTTACCCCGGTCGGAGACGTGGGGTCGGAGTCGGAGGTAGTGTTCTGCCAGGCTTTCCAGTCGGAGAGGCCGTTCGGAGGCGTCTGGAGTCGAAGCGAGCGCTCCAGTCGGAGAGGTGGGCCGGAGTAGGAAAAAGCGGGTGCCGCCCCTTCCGGTCGATGACTTGGACCGCCCTTCTGGCCTGTCGTTCAGATACTTGGGCCGGCCCATGAGTCGCGCGCTGTCTGCTTGGGTCGAGCCTTTGTTGGGAAACCGGCCTGCGTGGGACCCTGGGTTTATGAACCCGACACTATCACTCTCGAGTTTGTGCTTTAGTGAAAATTTTGCACTTGTAGCTCCAATGCACATACTAAAGAACAATTGTCTTGTTATAATAATGAGAGAGGGTGAAGAAGGCATCAATTGCCAAATAAATGTCAGCATATTGTTAATGAAGTCATGGACTGCTCAACCTTTTTTTCCCCTTAGCTGACTTCCCTTCATGCACATCTGTGTTCCTGGATAGCAACTTTTGTGCTAAAATACTGATTGTAGTTTGCTACGTGCCAAATATAGTTATCAAATAGATGTTCTTGTACAGTTACTGATTTCCTGAAAGAGAAATAAATTACTTCATCTGATAAAATGAAACACTGTCCTTGAGCATTATGGGCTATGTTATGGCCTTGAGCCAGACCCATGTGGTGAATTTGGTTAGGATTAAGTCATATAAAGGTAGAATATCATAGGAAAGCGATGCTAATAATTGCGTCGTTGTGCCTGGGCTGTGAGGGCTCTCAGCCACATGGATAATTCAATGTGCTCATCAGCGCCAGACTTGAAGATGTGGATCATCCAAGGCACATTAGCATGGCGTAGATGGGTCGATTTAGGTGAGATCCCATGTAGATTGAACTTTCTATTCACTCATGGGATCCGGGCGGTTAGGGGGGGCACCGTGGCTCCTCTCTTCTCGAGAATCCATACATCCCTTATGAGTGTATGGAGAGCTATCTCTCGAGTACAGGTTGAGGTTCGTCGTCAATGGGAAAATGGAGCACCTAACAACGCATCTTCACAGACCAAGAACTACCAATGTTATCAGGACGGCTGGTCGAGCCTGGTCGCCTAGGGACCGTCCAGGACGATTAATCGACCCTGGACGCGTCCCCTGTCGTCGTCCCCTACATATGGGGACTGATATATACCATATATATATTGTATAGTTTTGCTAGGGCCTTCTCAACAAGAGATGCAACATCTGGAGCAGCTGAGGATGTTGAACCAGCAGCAGCTGAGCCTGATGCAACTGAGGCTGGAGCAGAACCAACTTCTCCTTGAACATCGGCCTCAGGCATGTACACTTCCACCTGCGCACCTGCTGGATCTGCAGGCCTGTGCGCCTGCAGCAGCAACAGCCTCAAGGAAGAGAGGGAGGGCAGCTGGAAGGGAGGGAGGAGCGGCTGGGAACTGGAAGGGAGGAGAGGAGGAGAGGGAGCTGCAGAACTGCAGCAATGGAGGCGGCTGCTGCAGCTGGACGGGAGAGGTGAGAAGAGTGCGTGTGTTCTGCCGACTTCTGAGTGAGCGAGAGGCTGATGGAGTGAGGGGTAGGAAAGAAGAGAAACCCTAATGGCCTTGGGCCAAAACATAAGACAGCTAGCTAGGCCCAACTCTGAGATGCAGCCCACTCTCTGGCTGGACGACCACACAGCCTGGACGGACGATTAATCGCGACTGGACGACGACTAATCGGACGACCAGGTTTCTGGACGGTCTAGCCAAGTCGGAGGCCCTGGTCGAGTAGCTAAGACCGTCCAAGACGACTAATCGCGATTAATCGGACGTCCTGATAACATTGAGACCTACGAGATCACCCCTTTCATTCTGGGGTGACGGACGGATTGTACCATTCGAGCCTTTTTTTCATGCTTTTCCCGGCGGTTTGGAGAAAGCAGTAATGAATAGGACTTCCCTAATCCTCCCTTCCTGAAAGGAAGAATGATATTAAATTAATGGTCAAGATCAGGTTCATTTCTATGATAATAGAGATTAGGCCCTCCATAATCTGTGCTTCAACTGATGCCTAAAATGGAGAGAAGATTTGAACATCACTCACTACACTGCAGCATGTGATGCTAATGCCAGGAAATCTGGGAGGGAAGCAAGATAGGACGCTGGTGCCCGTTCATTAAAAAATTGTGAAAGGGAGCAGAGCATGAGAGAGAGATGGTAGATGAGGTTCTGCACTTTCGATTCCTTTTCTGTTTTTTATTTGTTTCCTGACTCCGAGGAACGATGCCCACACTGTGACATGCAAGAGTGATGCCAGTATTTCGCATGTGGGGTCCAGATTTTTTAGGCATCTCCAATGCTGTGGAAGGCCTTAGTTTCTTAGATGTGAAGTCCTCCCTATACATAAGGACCCGTGTACTTGATTACGAATATAGGAATGAATCTATAGTTAGTCTCATAAGCCTGAGCTTCTCCTAGCTAATTAGTGGGAAGCCCTGCTGGTGCTTGTTGAGGGACTAGGGAGAGTGCCCCGTCCCTTGGGTCTTGCCCTATGAGGTACTACAATATCTAATAACCAAATTTGCATTTTTAGTCAAAATTTAAGTTTATATCCTTTTGTTTTTGTAGTCGTACATATCCTTACGAGGGAAAAAGTCCTCTGTAGTTCTGTAGTAATGTGCTTGTGTGTGGTACTGCAGTTTTTTCTGCTCAATGACATTATTGGCATATTTTCAGATGGCAAAGGAACTTGATGGGATTCTTGATTCATCTGATGCTGAAACTGCGAAGAGTTGCACTAGTGAGGGTTCCACCTCATTTCTAGAGAGAATAATTACACCAATTTATGATACCATGGCAGCGGTAGGTTCATCTATTAAAGGTTGTATCTTGATCTACCTTTTTTTATAGAAAAAAACTGGGCTGCTATTAGATCTTGATCAGTATGGTCTACCTACTTGTATTTCTGGCTGCATTTGGATTGACAATAGACTCTTTGGTGTTTTGTTCAAACACTATAATGTATTCACTGCAATTCGCCTTTACTGTATTATGCAAGATCCCGGTTCAGCTAGGGACCAAATCTATCTGGAAAATTGTGAAACTTTCATGGGGTGTTTTAGCACTCTAGGCATTTCATTCTCCAGAAGAGAGAAAGTTTCCGTGGACAGGAACATTTTTTCTTTCCCCTTTGTTTTGCTAGATTGTTATATTTCTTGCTATTAAGTCATTAGCATGATTTTGACTTATTTTGTTTGTAGTCCACAGGAGTAAATGTAGAGTTAGATCTAGGCATGTAGCATTTTCACTTATAACTAGTGACCAAATTCAATTCTAATTGCACAATTACACTGTAAAGATGTTCTGCATGGTACCTTGCGTTGCTGGTGCTGTTCGGTGCTTCAAGATTATAGTACTATGTTTTATTTCGTTATGAAGTTTCATTCAATATTTAATTGGGCATATTTAGAAATATATTGTTCTAGTAAGACATGTGGCATTTATCTAATCCTACAATCTGCCTGTGTATTAAGCTTTTCTCTTGGGTAAAATTAGCCAATTACATTCCAACAGCTTAACTGTGTTGGATTTTTTTTAAACTAGCAAACCATGCCCATGCGTTGCAACTTGAGTGTACTAGTATCATCTGTTCCAATACGTCCTGCAGTTGAACTCTTTAACGTGGCTAGACGCGTGCTATTCTAACTCGTATGAGCACAGGTCATGAGTTCGGGTCATGGACAGGACAGTAAACCAAGTAGAACTCTTGTATATCTAATTCATCATGTACTACTATTCTTAGTAAAATGGTGTGGACGGACAGATGGGAGGGAGGGAGGGAATTTTCTCCTTTTAATATTAGCGTATTAGGTATATAGATAAAGATAGGGGTGCTGGGAGCCCCAGCAACCGCCTTATTTTTTTGTTGCCATAAAGGGCAGACCCAGTGCTGGAGGCTCCCACACGAGTGGGGTCTGGGGAAGGGATAAACCGAGACAAGCCTTTCCCCCGCAAAATCTGCGGAGAGGCTGCTTCGAACCCACGACCTGGTGACTCAGTGAGACAGCTCTCACCACTGCACCAGGCCTGCCCTTCTTTTTTTGTTGCCATATTGAATATTTTTGGATTTTGTATACTGTACACAGGAAGCTGAAAATAATAAAAATGGAAAAGCTGCACATTCTGCTTGGAGGAACTATGATGACTTCAATGAATATTTCTGGTTTGTCTGTTAACTTGCGTTTCTGCTGTTTGTATGTATATCCTTTTTCTTTTATGTCTTGATGTCTTGCCTATTCTGCTGCATGTGTAGGTCACGCTCATGCTTTGAGCTTGGTTGGCCACCTGCTGAGAGTTCCAAATTTTTGCGCAAGCCTGCTAAGAGGAAGCGTGTAAGTTAATCATGTGTGTTTTCCTAAGGAACTGCTACCTCTGTTTCAAATTATAAGTCTGTTTTTTCTAGGTATATAGTTTTTGCTATGTATCTAGACATAGCTTATATTTAGGTGCTTAACAAAAGCCTATGTGCTTGGAATCTTGTTGCTATGTATAACGCCTGGTTTGAAAATTGGTCAACCCTACCATTTAATGTTATGTAAGAACATTTTGACTAATAAAAAGAATAAATACACTTTTTGGTGATCTTCGGTGTTTAACACAATTATCAATATTTTCACCTTCTCATTGCTTTTAATTATTTATTTACAGACAGGAAAGACCAATTTTGTTGAACATCGCACTTTTCTGCATTTGTACCGCAGTTTCCACCGCTTGTGGATTTTTCTGCTATTAATGTTCCAGGTTAGTGGTTTGAGATTGTGTTCTGTCATCAATAAATATATCAGGAATATATAATGCTAAATGTGTTTTTTAATTGATGATGCAGCTCTTAGCTATTATTGCCTTTCACCATGGGAAGATGGACATTGACACCATTAAAATACTACTTAGCGCTGGGCCAGCCTTTTTCGTTCTAAACTTCATTGAATGTATGTTCTCTATTTTACTATTATAGCTTATTTTTGCTTTTATCTTAGATGCCTTTGTGATTTCTAAATGTAATCTGGACTGTGATCGATTTATATTTTTATGGCCTTTTTATATTCCATATTTTATTGTCATTGTGTTCTTTTATAGGCTGCTTGGATGTGATACTCATGTTTGGTGCATATAAGACAGCAAGAGGTTTTGCCATCTCAAGATTAGTTATTCGATTCCTTTGGTTAACTGCAGTTTCAACATTTGTAACCTATCTCTATGTGTGAGTATTCACTTAGCTTTTCTATCTTTTACTGTCAATGCACATTAATGCTGTCTATTCATTTGAATGATGAATGCTGATTGCTGAACAGGAAAGTCCTGGAAGAGAAAAATGCAAGGAATTCGGATTCGACTTATTTCCGAATTTATGGTCTTGTTCTTGGTGGTTATGCTGCTGTTCGAATTATGTTTGCACTGATGGCTAAGATCCCAGCTTGTCATAGGCTCTCAAGTTTTTCTGATCGGTCTCAGTTTTTCCAATTTTTCAAGTGGATATACCAGGTATTATATCATTGTTCAACATAACTTGGAAATATATTTTGATTATTTAATTATGCACTGATCATGTTTTACTAATTTGTTCTTAGGAGCGATATTATGTTGGGCGGGGACTTTATGAGAGTATTAGTGATTATGCCAGGTTCTTTCTTTTACCTTTAATGATTTGACATATTGTGACACCCTTTGTTTATTATGGATTATCCAGGTTAACATCTGGAGTAGAACCTTTTTATTTTCAAATTTTCGCTTCAGGATACCAATATTTATCTGCTATGTGAAAACTGTAAATTGTTTCTTGAGTATTGCATGTGAACTAGATGTTGAGACTGCTATTTGGGCTCCTGGTTCAGTCGTGAAAATTTAACACTGAATTCTGCTTGTAGTTTCCTTTGTTTCAGGGTTGGTACATGTGTCACATTGTGAAGCCTACGAAAATACTAATTAGGAATTGAGTTAAAGTAGCCTGACATACCCTTGTGGGTTCATTTACGTGTTGACGTTAACAGTTAGTGGCAATTGCTCAGTGTGATTACTTCCAGCGTTTTGCAGTTACTGGCAATTGGCCAAGATGTTACCATCTAGTAGATTTTTGAGTACTTGCTATGCTGTCATTTGTATACTCACCAGACACAAGTTCTCTGAATAGTGACTAAGTTCTCACTTATTGTTTTCAATTGTGCTGTGTTATGACAATTTTTTTTCTTAAGCAGATATGTGATATTTTGGGTCGTCATACTTGCATGCAAATTTACTTTTGCATATTTTCTCCAGGTGGCTCTACTAACAACTTTCAGAGTTTATGTTTGTTCTATGTTTTGTATGATGAAAAAAATTTACTCCTACCTTTTCTTACACATTTGCAGATTAAGCCTTTAGTTGAACCAACCAGTATTATCGTGCAACTCCATGATTTGAAGTATTCCTGGCATGATCTTGTATCAAGGGGTTAGTAGATCTGAAAAATATTAGACTAGAATCATAGCTCAATTGTTGCAATTTTCTCAACTAAAATTATTGTTACATTGTTTTTCTATGCACATTAAAGAAATGCAACTATAATCCTGATAATGTATTCATTTTAGGGAATAAAAATGCTTTGACCATTCTGAGCCTATGGGCACCAGTCTTAGCTGTAAGTTCCTGTTTTGACTTCAAAGTTTCTTTGATATAAGAAAAAAGAGACTGCAAATGATACATTATGTCCTTTCATTTGTGTTTACAGATATACCTGATGGACATCCACATTTGGTACACTCTTTTATCAGCACTTGTTGGTGGCGTTATGGGTGCTAGAGATCGCCTTGGAGAGGTGTAATATTTTGCTCTTTTATGTCCTGGCCCTGTTTGTGGATCCAAGTTTTATCAACTACGCATACATTTCTTCTGATGTGCAAGCTAGATTATTGTTCTGACATTCTCTAATGTAATGCAGATTCGGTCAATTGAAATGCTTCATAAACGTTTTGAGAGCTTTCCAGAAGCGTTTGCTAAAAACCTTTCCCCTCCAAGGTTCTTAACCCTATTCTCTATATTTGTCATTCTGAATTCTTATGACTCATGATTAATTGCATATAAGAGGTCTGTGAATTTGTGTTTATTCTGTCATTTAGTATAAATTGCTTTTTTTTTTTTATCTTACGTGTCTTGTTTTAATAATGTTTTTTATTTTATGCTGCAGGATATCTAGCAGACCCATTGCTCAGGTAAATGAACTGGTTCTGAAGCCTCGCCTTTTTTCACATCTTTGAAGAAATTTACTATTATTCTTTTGGCCTGTTATTTGTTTTTCATTGACATGTCACGGTAATCTAGCTTCATGTTCCACTAAGGTCCTGTTTGGTAGAGCTCCCAGAGCTGATTCTGTGCTGCTCTGCCAAACATTTCTCTACTGATTCTTTGAAGTGATTCTATGAAATGAAGTAAAGAGGCTGGGAGCTGAAAAAAGTAGCTTCTCCTGATTTTGTAAAGTGATTCTCCATTGTGATTTTGAGAGTTTGTGCTAAATCAAAGAGAATCACTTTCAGCCATAGAATCACTTCTCTCAGAGAATCAGCTTTCATAGAAAATCAGAATCAGATGGAGCTCTACCAAACAGGCCCTAAATGGTTCATTCTTGATTTGTGAATTTAGATGTCCTTTTCTTGTTATTATCATTTAGAGCTCGTCCGGTTAATCCCCAATCCCGAGGGGATTGAGGGGGATTTTATCGCCTACAAGTCAAAGTCCCCCTCAATCCCCTCCAATCCCTTTAGATTGGGGATTAACTGAACAAGCCCTTAGGGGAATACCCTAATGGCTTTGATAATGGACTCTGACTATTCTGTTTTAGTGGTTCATGACTTCCTTCTCTACTTATTATACAAAAATGTAGCCTAGCGGACCATAGTTTTTTGGAATTTTTGATATGTTGCTGTACTGATTTTTTTTACCACTCGACATTAGGATTCAGAAATTACTACTAAGATGTACGCCTCGATATTTTCCCCATTTTGGAATGAAATTATCAAGAGCTTGCGTGAAGAGGACTATATCAGCAACAGGTGTGGCAGAAAATAATAATACATTACACAGTATTATCTTATATGTGACTTTCTTTGCTTCAGTATTGTGTGAATTTCCTTTCAGGGAAATGGATTTGCTTATGATGCCAAGTAACTGTGGAAATTTAAGGCTTGTACAGTGGCCACTGTTTCTATTGACTAGCAAGGTATGAGATATCCTAGTTGAAATCAATGTTTTCTTTGGATGAATGAATCTTTTGCATATCGAAACCTTTGATTTGGATGCTATCAATCTGTTGGTTGCTTCTTCTGTAGATCATGTTGGCAAATGACTATGCTTCTGACTGTAAAGACTCGCAGTATGAGCTATGGGATAGAATATCAAAAGATGAATACATGGCTTATGCCGTCAAGGAATGCTACTACAGCACTGAAAAAATTCTTCACTCCTTAGTCGATGCTGAAGGGCAGCGCTGGTATACTTCCTCACTGAAAAACCATGAATCTGATACTGAAACCAAGGCTTCTAACTGCTTGTGCTAAACTTTGTCACTACTTAATTCTAATGCTTGCTGCTGATACATATACAGGGTTGAAAGGCTTTTCCGAGATCTTAATGATAGTATAGCACAGGGTTCACTTTTAGTGACTATAAATCTGAAGAAGTTGCAGTTAGTCCAGTCTAGGTTGACGGGCTTGACAGGTCTTCTGGTAAGATTGTTACTCTTGATTTTGGATCTTGGCATCAATTACCAGTCTTTTAGTTCTTTACTAGCATGTTTGGCATAAGGTGGTTTATGTTTTGTCATCATGCTAAGGTTATTGTTGAATTATTCATTTTCCATCTATGTTTCATTGATTTATTATAAATCCATTCATTTAACACGGAATTTCCATTAGATACGCGACGAGACTGCTGGCCGTGCCGCTGGTGTTACAAATGCTCTCCTTGAGCTCTACGAGGTTGTTACCCATGAATTTCTTGCACCGAATCTGAGGTTAGCTGTAGAAATCTTTTTCTTTGTACTGGAAAACATTGTCAGCTCCAGTTAGTTTCTGTTGCAAATAACCTCTTTCTTGCTTGCAGGGAACAGTTTGACACGTGGCAACTGTTGTTAAGAGCCAGAAATGATGGACGCCTATTCTCTAAGATTTTCTGGCCAAAGGATCCAGAAATGGTACTTTTCTTATAATATAAATTGAAATTTTCTTAGCTTTGGTGCTATTACTAGCGTGACACTATCTATCCCTGCAGAAAGAACAGGTTAAGCGTTTACACTTACTTCTGACTGTCAAGGACTCTGCCGCCAACATACCAAAAAATCTGGAAGCTCGGAGAAGATTACAATTTTTCACTAATTCTCTATTCATGGACATGCCAACAGCAAAGCCTGTATCTGAGATGATCCCTTTTAGGTACTATTAGTTAATGTGTGTAATCTTCATTCTATCAAAAGGAATAGGTTCCTATTAACACCTAATTTTCATGTGCAACAGTGTATTTACCCCGTACTACAGTGAAACTGTTCTTTATAGCATGTCTGAGCTTTGTGTTGAGAATGAAGACGGCATTTCTATACTTTTCTACCTTCAGAAAATATACCCTGGTACTGTTGACATACTTAATTTTCACTTTATCTGCAAATTTTATTATTCATGAACACATTTTTTGTCTACTATAAGCAAAGTTATATTTCTGCACCATATTTTTTTGGAACACGGGAGGAGAGCTGCTTTCTGCATCTTATTTTTCCTCTTTCTCCCGAAGTGAACCATTCACTTCTATGAGTGGATTACTTTTGTATGATGTTGTTGACTGACTTTTGGTTTATGCAAGTCTTCATTAATAGGGATACATCAAGATCTAGCTAGAAGTTGGGAAACACATTAACTTCATTTTGTTATTATCGCATGGTGACAAGTATAAAAGCAATTAGGTCCAAGTGAATGGCAAAAAATTGTCTGCTTTTAATTTTCGTCATCTTTTTTCTTTCTCTTGCTTGTTGATAACATCCTAGTTCACTAGCACTTGATTCTATGTAGAAACATGTTGCCATCTATATTTGGAAACTACTCTTTGGGTGTAAACTATAAGCATGGCAGTGTTCTTAAGGCATCGCTTACGGGACAAGGCACTTGGGCATAGGCGTCCTCGATGCCTTGCCAAAAGCAGTGAGAGGGAGGGATAATAGAGAAGTGGGAGGAAACCAACCAACAGGGTCTGAAGTTACCATGTTCCACATCCTTGGCAACCAACAGAGCCTGAAGCTACCATGTTCCCCATCCTTGCCAGCTCTGGCAGCTAGAATGGCAACTTCCTCCTATCAGCTGCAGCTGCAGCTGCTGGTAGATCTAGTAGTTGGCGGCAGCTCTGTAGCCAATCTGATTGTGCAGCACAGTGAGGGGCCGAGATTGGTGGCCTGGTGGCGCAATGGGCAGAGCAAACAGAGGATGGAGCACTTGAGAGAGATGGCACTGCTGCATCATGGATAGACAAGGGATGATGGGGAAAGGCGCAAATTGTGGTGGATGAATAAGGAAGGGGAAGTAACATGGGCTAAGCTGGTGGCATGGGCTGGCCAGGCCTTCTTCCTTCTTTTCTTTTCACCCTCCTTTCTGTTGCTAGTTTGCTGGTCAACTGGTTGCTACTATGGCAGTCATCCTTATCAATGCCTAGGTGTTGTGACGGGGGTAGGTCGCTACACCTTGCCTTACCGCCTTAAGAACATTGATGAAGCATGGTTACTTCGGTGTTGCTTGATTGTTTAGTTGGCTTTGAGGCTGCCACAACTGTGCGTCCCATTGCTCGTGTATGTGTGAAGTCTGGTAGAACGCCTCCTTTCCAGAGAAAAGCGCTCTGTTCCTTGTGCATGAATTTTGTTCCCTTTTTCTTGAATATTTCTCATGCTGAATTCCGTAGAGTAAAGCGCTTTCATTAGAGCATTGCAAACAGCTTCAACTTCACACAACAACAACAACAACAACAACAAAGCCTTTAAGTCCCAAACAAGTTGGGGTAGGCTAGAGTTGAAACCCAGCAGAAGCAATCAAGGTTTAGGCACGTGAATAGCTGTTTTCCAAGCACTCCTATCTAAGGCTAAGTCTTTGGGTATATTCGATCCTTTCAAGTCTCCTTTTATTGCCTCTACCCAAGTCAACTTCGGTCTTCCTTTGCCTCTCTTCACGTTACTATCAACTTCACACACACAAAAGACAAAAAAAACCTATGGTTTCACATGTAATGGGTTCTTATCTTGCAGATGAGTGGGCTAACTTCTTAGAACGAATTGGCCATGGTGAATCATCAGAAGATGATTTTAAAGATAGTCCAAGTGACACCTTGGAACTCCGGTTTTGGGTATCCTATCGTGGCCAAACTTTGGCCAGGACAGGTCAGTTTGTTTTTTTCATTTCTTTTGGTTACGGTAAATGCTGAAGTAGTAGAAAAAATGGTGTGAAGTAAACATTGTTACATGCTAGGTCTAAATTCTTTATTCTGATATGGTTATCTGCATGGTTTTGTCCTGTATTTGATTGCTATGTATCTTGATTTATTTTGCTGAGGCAGTGCGTGGTATGATGTACTATAGAAGAGCTTTGATGTTACAAAGTTACCTGGAGAAGAGATACCTTGGGGGTGGGTATATAGTTTTTGATGTTTGTTACTTCAGCAATCAGCACATATCTTGTTTATCTTTATCCTTGCTGCTCTATCAGGTATTGAAGATGGCAATTCTGCAGCAGAATATATTGACACTCAAGGCTATGAGTTATCTCCTGATGCACGGGCCCAAGCTGATATAAAATTTACTTATGTTGTTTCTTGCCAAATATATGGACAACAGAAGCAAATGAAAAAACAAGAGGCTGCAGATATTGCTCTCCTACTACAAAGGTTATATCGCTTTCTTCCTTTTATTGTTTCGCGGGTTCGAAGCAGCCTCTCCGCAAATTTTGCGGGGGGAAGGCTTGCCTCGTTTTCCCCCTTCCCCAGACCCCACTCATGTGGGAGCCTCCGGCACTGGGTCTGCCACCCCCCCCCTCCCCGCCCCATTGTTTGCTGAATGGGTTGGTAGATGATGCTAGGTTAAATACAACAACAATAACAACAAAGCCTTTAAGTCCCAAACAAGTTGGGTTAGGCTAGAGTTGAAACCCAGCAGAAGCAATTAAGGTTCAGGCACGTGAATAGCTGTCTTCCAAGCACTTCTATCTAAGGCTAAGTCTTTGGGTATATTCCATCTTTTCAAGTCTCCTTTTATTGCCTCTACCCAAGTCAACTTCGGTCTTCCTCTGCCTCTCTTCACGTTACTATCCTGGCTTAGGATTCCACTACGCACCGGTGCCTCTAGAGGTCTCCGTTGGACATGTCCAAACCATCTCAACCGATGTTGGACAAGCTTTTCTTTAATTGGTGTTACCCCTAATCTATCACGTATATCATCGTTCCGAACTCGATCCCTTCTTGTATGACCGCAAATCCAACGCAACATACGCATTTCTAGGACACTTATCTGTTGAACATGTCGTCTTTTCGTAGGTCAACATTCTACGCCATACAACATAGCAGGTCTAATCGCCGTCCTATAAAACTTGCCTTTTAGCTTCTGTGATACCCTTTTGTCACATAGGACACCAGATGCATGGCGCCATTTCATCCACCCTGCTTTGATTCTATGGCTAACATCTTCATCAATATCCCCGTCTCTCTGTAGCATTGATCCTAAATATCGAAAGGTATTCTTCCTAGGCACTACTTGACCTTACAAACTAATATCTTCCTCCTCCCGAGTAGTAGTGCCGAAGTCACATCTCATATTCTCAGTTTTAGTTCTACTGAGTCTAAAATCTTTGGACTCCAAAGTCTCCCGCTATAACTCCAGTTTCTGATTCACTCCTGTCCGACTTTCATCAACTGGCACTACATCGTCCGCGAAAAGCATACACCAAGGGATGTCCCCTTGTATGTCCCTTGTGACCTCATCCATCACTAAGGCAAACAGATAAGGGATCAAAGCTGACCCTTGATGTAGTCCTATCCTAATCGGGAAGTCATCCGTGTCTCCATCACTTGTTCGAACACTAGTCACAACATTGTTGTACATGTCCTTAATGAGCCCGACGTACTTCGTTGGGACTTTATGTTTGTCCAAAGCCCACCACATAATATTCTTTGGTATTTTATCATAAGCCTTCTCCAAGTCAATAAAAACCATGTGTAGGTCCTTCTTCTCCCTATATCGCTCCATAACTTGTCTTATTAAGAAAATGGCTTCCATGGTTGACCTTCCGGGCATGAAACCAAATTGGTTCATAGAGACCCGCGTTATTGCTCTCAAGCGATGCTCGATAACCATCTCCCATAGCTTCATAGTATGGCTCATCAACTTAATTCCCCGGTAACTAGTACAACTTTGAATATCCCCTTTATTCTTGTAGATCGGTACCAATGTACTTCTCCTCCATTCGTCAGACATCTTGTTCAATCGGAAAATATGGTTAAACAGCTTGGTTAGCCATACTATAGCTATGTCCCCAAGGCATCACCACACCTCGATTGGGATATCATCTGGTCCCATCGTCTTACCTCTTTTCATCCTTTTCAACGCCTCTCTGACCACAGATTCTTGGATTCTCCGCACAAAACGCCTATTGGTGTCATCAAAAGAGTCATCCAACTGAAAGGTTGTGTCCGTATTCTCACCATTGAACAATTTGTCAAAATACTCTTGCCATCGATGTCGGATCTCATCCTCTTTCACCAAGAGATGCTCATGATGCTAGGTTAAATATGAAATAATTATTTTCTGGGGTTTCCAATCGTGTTCTCTTGTCTCCTAGATGATATACATGACTTTTCTTGGTCACTTGTCTCAGAATTCTTGAGTCTTTCATGTTTCTGATCTTGATTTTTGCTTGACACCTTTAAGAGCATCTCCAGTAGGAGAAAAACTCAACCCCAAAAAAGTAGTATTGGTGGAGGTACAATAAACTTTTTGGGGTTTGGCAGTACTGTGCTGCAGCAGAATAAGAAAAAGGCACCTCAATATCTCTCCATGACATGTGGGGCCTGCTTGTTAGTGAGTCAACCCTCTTTTGTTTTTCCTCACCCATGCATTCTGTCTTGGCACTTCTCTCTTTTTTCTCCAACCTGCTTCTACTCCACCGGGGCCGTGCCCATTCTCTCCTCTTGTGACGGCGCCTCACCCCTCCCCCTCATCTCCTCTTGCAGTGCCATCCTCCCCATCCTCTCCTCTGGCTGTGCCCCATCCCATCTTCTCCGGCGTCCCTGCCTCTCTTCCCTTACCAATGTGGTGGCCTGCTCCCCTCATCCTCTGCTGCTACAGCTCCTTCCTTGGAGTAGAGGGTGCTGAACTTGATTCATCTCTGTCCAGCCTCGATTCGTGATGATCAGACCCGATTCGTGGCTGCCCAAGTTCCATTCGTGCTGGCACAGGCTCAATTGGTGGTGGCCAAAGCTCAAGCTCATCAACAGTGTGTAGAGGAAGGGGTGGAGGAGAGCCGTGGCGAGGCGGAGCAAGGGGGTTCGTGGTTGCGCAAGCGGCAGGTGAAGCACCCACCACACAAAACGGTGGATTGGGGGAGAGGTGGTCTCCCCTTTCTTTGATAGATGACGGGTTGATCTTTGAGGGGCTTAGCTTCCCCCCGCCCCCCCCCTCCATTGGGAGTGGTGTTGGCCTCTTGGGGGACTGCTGTAGCACCTGAAATCCCCTAAACAACAAGTTTTTCTCGTTGGTGGTGAGAAAGTGGGACTGGTGGAGATGCTATAAGGTTCTGTTTAGAACACGCAAAACCTGATTTGTGTGGGAATGATCTGCTTCCTGCAAAGTTCTTGTGAAATGCCTTGTCTTCTGAGCTGAGCAATACTAACCTATTTTTTTATATATAATTTGTAGAAATGAGGCCCTTCGGGTTGCTTTCATACATGAAGAGGAAAACATATCAAGGGATAGGAAGGCTACAACAAAAGAGTATTATTCCAAGCTTGTAAAGGCTGATGTTCATGGCAAAGATCAAGTCAGTCTATTTTCTTAAGTTATCAATAATTCTTTTGCCAATGTCGCGGTGCATTTATCTTGCCTACTTGAAATCAATTACGACACTGCCAATCTGCCATTCCCATCAAGTCCTGATGATTTATGATTTGTATCAATAGGTGATAAATTTGTGTAGCATGTGTTTTCTTGGCTTGGTGGTCAATCATGTACCTAGTAATAATTGCACATTGATGCTCTACCATTCTTTTACCACTTACTAGATACTTTGTGAGTAGGGATGCTAGCTCCACTAGTTTAGGGTCACTTGGTCGACCCAGAACTCGTTAAAATGAACTATAATGGCATACCATTGTAATTAATCAGCTGACCCAAAAACACTATTGGGTACCCATTTGCATCCCTACTTGTGAGTCCTCGATGTAAAACTCGTTTCTTGGTCTGGCAAAATTCCATAGAATTTTGCATGTGTACGGACGCGCACACGTGTGTGCGTGTGAGTGTGGAGAGTGTGGGTTGTATGCGTCCAAGTTGTACCCGATCAAAAAAAAATTCCATAGAATTGTTTTCTCATAGTCATGAATAAGATGTTATCTTAGGAAACTTTCAACCAGGTAGTGTCCCACTGCTGCTAGAAGTACAAATGCTCTATGATTGACTAAGGATTTTCAAACCTTGTTCCACCGCTTATCGCTATTTTCTGGTCTATTGTGCTTAATAATTTTTATCATGTTCTTCATACCCATTGTTTCCTCACAATAACATGTTCATTTGGTCTTCTGTAATCATTAGCGCTACAATTTGTATGAAATCACTTTGTGCTGGCCGTTATATTGTATATAGTAGTCCATATCAGTAGAATTGGTTGACAGTAACCACCCGGCTACCACCATACTGGTTCTCTGGCCTCAACTCACTGCCATATAGTATATACCAACCATTTCATCCTTATTTTTACAAAAGCATTGCTGAGTAGAATTCAACAAGCTGAGGCATTTTTATAGGTGGGCAACTTCTTAAAATTCACTAAGTACCCTTCATGTATTATAATGGTTAAATTTGGAACTTTTAACTTCAGAAAAAGATCAGGGTAGTTTGAATTACTGTATACTCTCAAACTTATGTTGAAATTAGGCTAATGCATATATTGTACCTCAAATTTATGTGCGGCTGATTTATTTATTATTTACAGCAAGCATAATTTTATTTGCTGTGATCTAGCCACACATGATTCATTTTATTGATGTTGCTTTGCCTTAACATCTTGCTCTTTATTTTGCCATCCTGTTACATAAATAGGAAATATACTGCATTAAACTGCCTGGGAACCCGAAGCTTGGCGAAGGCAAACCTGAGAACCAAAACCATGCTATAATCTTCACTCGAGGAGATGCAGTTCAGACGATCGATATGAATCAGGTTTACCCCCCCAACACACACACAAATGCTAAAGTAACCTTTCCATTGGTACCTTCATCTCCACACAGAATGTATTTTATTGTATTTTCATAAACTATTATGTGTTAATTCTTCTAGGGTGGTAGAATTTAGATTTAGCAACCTTATTTCTTTTGAACTTCCTTAATGGTGATCTTAACAAGGACGTGTTAGGATCTGTTCATGCTCGGTAAATTTTCCCATAATGTCCCATGAAGAATGCTAGTCTACTTTTTACCTTGTGTTTCTCATGTGTGAAACCTGTAAAGCAAAGACATATTTAGGTGTTAATATAATGTCCTCCACATGCCACATGGAATGTGGCCATGTGGGCAGTTTAGATTCAAAGTGCTGGTGTGAGGATCACGGCATGTTTGGTTTATGCCCCCAGTGAGCCAAGACAAATTTTGTCCATGTCCAGGAAATTTGGCCTCTGTTTGGTTTGAGTCCAAAATCTAGCTAGGCAAAAATATCTAGACGACCGCCCACAATTTTCTATTGAAGAGCTGGGCAAAACTCAGGCGGCCAAACTGTTGCCCTGATTGTGTCTGGCCAAAATTTGGCTTGATCGTGAACCATGCTATTTTGTTTGTTCCAGTTTTAGCATGGACAGATTTTGGGCTTGGCCTCTTGGGGCCTCAAACCAAACCAGCCCTAACTTCCTCAAAAGGATAAGAAATGAGATACCCACCTCAATTTTCACTTAATGTATTGTGCTCATATTATCTCATCCAACGTGGTCCAGACAAAGTATGTATGAGCACACATGGATGATCCTGAACTGGGCTGGGCACTTTCCTTTTCCATGTACATTTCAGAAAGTATATATTTATTTCAGAATGACATTTGAAAAGTTTGAGATGTCCCTGTGCAACCTTAACTGACAAAGTTCCCATGTAGGATAACTACTTGGAGGAAGCAATGAAAATGAGAAATTTACTTGAAGAATTTCGTAATGTTCATGGAAACCATGGCATACGGAAGCCGACAATCCTAGGTGTGAGGGAGCATGTTTTCACGGGGAGGTTGTTATATAACTAATCTCATTCGTTAGCTCTTTGCTCGATTATATTATATTTTTCTGTATTGACCTGTAATCTTTAATAGTGTCTCTTCGCTGGCGTCATTTATGTCGAAACAGGAGACTAGTTTTGTTACTTTGGGGCAACGTGTTCTTGCTTACCTCAAGTGAGTAAATTTTAGCAACCATATGGTAGCATGCTGTAGGGAATATGTTCTGTTGCACTCTCTTATACTGCATTCATTTTATTATGAAATATTTGACAATAATTTAGAACTGAGCAAACTTCCTGGTGGTATACTATCCTTGCCCAGAGTTCGAATGCACTATGGACATCCAGATGTTTTTGATCGGATATTTCACATAACCCGAGGTGGCATTAGCAAGGCATCCCGAGTGATTAATATAAGCGAAGATATATATGCCGGTGGGTAGATTGTATTCTTTACATTGGAGTTTAATTATGAGTTTGACTTGGTGTTAGTAGTGGTTGTTGGCAACCTTGGACACACTCATGGATGTGTAGTTGTCTTTGTTGCTTAAAACTGAGATTTTCTTGTTTCAAAAAAAAACTGAGATTTTTCTGGTTCTTTCAAAAAGCAGTTAGAATTCAAAAATACTAATGGCACAGAACTGGGAGATTTTCCTTGCAAAACACCATTTCTTCTGCCCCTTATCTTCTTTTTCTTTTTGTTTAGGAATTAGGAATTTGTATTTCATCTTTTTGTGTCTGGGAGTGGCCTGTTGCTGTTACTAAAAATTGCCTTGTTATTCAAATGTTCTGGATAGATTATTTTCATGAAATAGCCAGAATGTATTATCACACAGTTATACTATTGACATAGATCAGAGTTACTATAATTCTTGGTATGAATGATGTAGACCAGACTTACTATAATTCTTGGTATTTCGTCTCTTTTTTTTTTATATATATTTGTATGATACTAGACTCTGGGAGTCACAAGTCATTGATAACTTTTGTTTGAGTCACTTTCTCATACGGGAGACTCGTACCTTTTGAATTTCACCATTTTAATTGCTAATCATTCTGCAGGGTTCAATTCGACTTTGCGCCAAGGGAACATCACACACCATGAATATATCCAGGTTAATATTTATGTCATTTTGTTACTACCAAACTGCAAGACAGGGATACTATGCACTGTTCATTTGCACCCATTATGGTTTACACATGAGAATTTCCTTGAAGATTCCAAAATACGCATGGTTATTTAGCTCAGTAGGCCATGCACAATTGCATAACTTTGCACTTTATAATAAGATATAAGATGTTAATATGTGCATTTGCAATTTATAAGACATGTGAAACTAAATATGCTATAGGACATCCTGGTTTGTTGTATTGGTAGGAGTGCGTTCGTGTGTGTGTTTACCTAATTTTGCTCTTAATGCATGATCATCTTAGTCAGATTTCTTTGTTATTGGGATAGGTGAATTCTTTAGAATCCATCCCCTAAAGGAATTGGACATGAGAATTTTTCATCATCCGCCTCAAGCAAGAATGGAAGAAATAAGACCATGGAGGATCCACAATAGAATATATATATATATATATTTTTTTTTTTTTTTTTTTTGGGGGGGCGATTTTTGTATGGGTTTTCATACACCTTTTCCTTCTTAATACAAAGATACACAGTCCTGTGTTCAGAAAACAAAGGTAGACAATAGACATCAGTATTGATTCTTAAGTTATGTATAGTGCAAATGTGATGACCTTCGTACCCACAAAGTTCCAAGGGTGCATATGCTAGCCTTCTTATATTCATGACCTTTTAGATTTTTTTGAAGCTCGTGAATGCTTGCATTTAGCCAATGGGTGCATTGTCATTATGCCACATCTGCAATTACCTGAAGTTTATCACCAAAAGGGAATATAAAAGTATCCTTTGTTTCAGGTGGGGAAAGGGCGTGATGTTGGCTTGAACCAAATTGCACTATTTGAAGGGAAAGTTGCTGGAGGCAACGGCGAGCAAGTTCTCAGCCGAGATGTGTACCGTCTGGGGCAGTTATTTGACTTCTTCCGGATGCTAACCTTCTTTTTCACCACAGTTGGTTATTATGTCTGCACGATGGTACTCCCCTACCTCCCTCCCTTGCTCCCTTTTCATATGGTTTGTACTTTATGGTTCCTGGGTTCTTTCTGTAGCATCTTATGTGTCTGCTGAGCTCTTTCATGGCACCTTTAGTTACAATTATAAAAAACCTGAAATTTCAGTGTTGGTGTAGCTAGGAACTGTTACAGTAATGATGCGTTCTGCATGCACATTGCACTTTGGCTTCTCTAAAAAACTAATATATTAGCTCTTTGGAGGAGTACGAAAATAGAAACTCATCTTCTTTGAAAGTCCCAGATGGCTGTTTGGCAGAAAAAGTTGAGATGAATTTGCAAGGATTCTTGCTTGACTACTTCAGCTGTTGAGCTCTCAAATGCAAAGCTTGTTGGCCTGAACATTTTGAAAAGTCTTTATTCTCAACGTTTTAGTGCAAATTACCTTTTGATTATTCTTAATTCTCAACATTGTTACAAATTTGAATTGGAAACTGGTTGTGTCTTCTCATTCCCTGGACCTGGCCCTAAAAACTGGTTTGTTGGGCCAATCTGTACTGGAGTGACCTTGCATTAGTACTCTTTGTATAGGGAACTTATTCTGCAAGTTATTACTATGCCTTTGGTTTTGCCAGGTATCTTGACTGGTTTTGGACATGTTTATGTAATATAATGTAGTTTATGTATCATGTACTCCTTCCATATTGTTGTATACTACCAGTCTTTTAGCTTGTTTGTTCATTTATCCATGCAGATGACTGTTCTAACTGTGTATATCTTCTTGTACGGAAGGGTTTATCTGGTGAGTACTTTGAATTTTTCAATTGTTTATGCTCCTGTTTGAGGAATTTTTATATTAGTGTTTCTTTTCCATTTTGTATGATTTGACTTGAGACAGTCTGTTGTAATTTTCAGGCACTCTCTGGCCTTGACTACTCAATATCTCGCGAAGCTAGGTTTTTGGGGAACACTGCGCTAGATGCTGCTTTGAATGCTCAATTTTTGGTCCAGATTGGTATTTTTACAGCAGTACCGATGGTAATGGGTTTCATTTTGGAGCTAGGGCTGATGAAGGTGAGCTATCTTTGTTTTCTTTTGGGAGAATGGTTGCTATTTCAGGATTTTGCAATCATGTCAAAATTTTCAATCTTGTGCAGGCTGTTTTTAGTTTTATTACAATGCAGCTCCAGTTCTGTTCGGTGTTTTTCACCTTTTCGCTTGGAACAAGGACACATTACTTTGGTAGAACAATCCTTCATGGTGGTGCAAAGGTACAAAACAGTCATATTAATCGTTATTATTGTTACTTCCTGAATTTTGTTGACATTTTTCCTTTATGCAGTATAAAGCTACTGGAAGAGGTTTTGTTGTTCGGCACATAAAGTTTGCTGAAAATTATAGGCTCTATTCTCGAAGTCACTTTGTCAAAGCGTAAGTTGTTACTTATAAAAAAGCAGATAAATTGTTACAGGAAGTTGACATATACTGCTAATGTTTGCACTAGCATATCTTCCTTGAATGGGTGCGAGTGTTGTAATGTCAATTGTATGGCTTGTAGGAATATTTTTTTGTTCAGCATCATTATGAGATGCATATTTGTCTATCCCATCAGTCTATATAAATGACATGTGGGACCACACCCCATTTGTCATTCACTAACTTGTTATAAATGAAGTCTAATGTACCGATGCTTTTGAAACATGAAATCTAAACTTTGCCATAACTTATGTTTTGACATTGGCGAGGAAACCCTGGTTTATGTATATAGCATTCAGAATCATACCTGGGAATACTGGATATACGTTTTCCTAGACATTACATGGATCTGGCACAGCGAATGGAATCCTTAGTTCTAGTTAATCGTACTTGCTGGCATTACTTGATAATCTATCTGAAAGACATCCTTATTGCAGGCTTGAGGTTGCTCTGCTCCTCATCGTTTACATTGCATATGGATACACGAAGGGCGGTTCATCTTCATTTATTCTGATTACTATCAGTAGTTGGTTCCTCGTTATGTCCTGGCTTTTCGCGCCTTACATTTTCAACCCTTCTGGTTTCGAGTGGCAAAAGTATGTTTATACCCCTATCCTTAAATTATTTTCCTTTAAGGTTTGTTGGCATTCAAGCAAGATGACCTTTGGTAAAATTGAGAGTTTATTTTTCTTTCATGTCGTGGGGAAATATAGCCCTATATTTGGTGAATTGTTTTCTCTGGAAGTATAGGTAGAAGTATATGCATCACCATTGATTCAATCAAGAGTCATCAGTAAAATACGTGGATGCTGCATAGTGTATTTTTTTCATAATACTCATGTACTTTGTCCCCTCACCCAGGACTGTTGAGGACTTCGATGACTGGACAAACTGGTTACTTTATAAAGGTGGAGTTGGTGTAAAGGGTGACAACAGTTGGGAATCTTGGTGGGATGAGGAGCAGGTCAGTAGCAATTTACCTGTGTTTCAACTATTATTATGTTTTAACCTGGGTGGTTTGTTCCTTGCACTTAAAACTAACATTGTTTAATTATATCTCTCTCGATATGTGTATACAGGAGCATATCCAGACATTCAGAGGACGTATTCTTGAGACAATCCTGAGCCTTAGATTTCTCATGTTTCAGTATGGCATTGTGTACAAGCTTAAAATTACAGATCATAATACTTCCCTTGCAGTAAGTTGTGCTGTCTCGTCCTTAGACTTTAAGATATTCAATTGGTCTTCTTCTAACTAACTATTCATCAGTATAAAATCTTTATTGTGATTTTCATATATCATGCATATATCTTGTTTTCTCGTCTCATCTCTTCAATGTTGATGAAGCTGATCATCGGTAGCTTTTCTGTTTGAGGGAAGGGCCATATAGGAAATTAAAAGATCTGATCGTTGTAGGAATCCTTGAACTTCACCTTTTCCAGGCCCTAAAAGAATTCAACCCTGTTTATCAACAATGTGTAACACAAAACATTCTTGTATTTCTTTTATAGTGTGAAATACAATGTATGATTTTTCCTTGTTGAATGATGTTATTATACCTCATTTTTTCCAAGTAATTTTATTATGGATTTTGGTCTTGAAGTAGATATTTGTAACTTAAATGTTCAATTTAAGCAACATAAAAACATTAATAACCAACCATTTGGATGTTATATTTAACTTGGGATCCTATCACCATCCGAGTTTTGTTTGTTCTGTCTATCTAATGCCTTCTGTCACTGTGCAGGTTTATGGCTTCTCATGGATTGTACTCGTTGTTATGGTTCTTCTTTTCAAGGTTTCTCATGTTAATTCTTTGAACATTCAAATGCTGCATGTTTTAAAATTATATATGGATGAACTCTAAGCTAAGCTTTGTCCTGTTGTCTTTCAGCTTTTTACTGCAACTCCGAAGAAGTCGACAGCCTTGCCGACTTTTGTTCGGTTTCTGCAGGGCGTCCTTGCTATTGGGATAATTGCAGGAATTGCCCTTCTTATCGTGCTCACATCGTTCACTGTTGCTGATTTATTTGCAAGTGCACTTGCTTTTATAGCAACTGGCTGGTGTGTCTTATGTGTAAGTACAACATCCTTATTTTGTTTGAGAAATACTTGCATTATATCAATCTGCTACTTAATTGAAGCAAATTTGGAATATTACAAATGCCAAGTTAATGGCTGGTAACTTGCCTGGTGCCACATGCCTCACCAAAATTTTCCTTGTCATGGCAGCTGGCCGTCTCATGGAAGAGGGTAGTGAAAGCCCTTGGGCTATGGGATTCAGTCCGTGAGATTGCAAGGATGTACGATGCAGGAATGGGCGCCATCATCTTTGTGCCCATCGTCTTCTTCTCGTGGTTCCCCTTTGTGTCAACATTCCAGTCACGTTTCCTTTTCAATCAAGCGTTTAGTCGTGGCCTGGAGATCTCCCTCATCCTGGCAGGGAACAAGGCGAATCAGCAGACATGAAAAGCCTCGCTGCATCCAGTATATTTTTCTGTTGTACATTCTTTGAATTACTGAGAGCTGCTTAGTTTGAACAATTTAGTGAGCTCGATTTGAAACAACAGCCTTGTACATAATTGCCCCTGTAATTTCGACACTAATTATGCGGAGAGACAGCTACGGCAGTAGAGATGAGCAGGTGTTTGTCAACCTGATCTTAACAAATCCTTTCTCTTCTTCGATGGTCCAGCAGCCCTGCAGCACTGCAGCAGTATGTTGCATCCATCCACGTGACTACGTCTGGGGTGTCCTTAGCGATGCTAAATATATGGTGCAAACCGCTCCTTAAGTGCAATCGTCGAAACCGTTTTGAAATATATATCTTGAAGTTTAAAATTTTATTTGAAACGATGCATATTCACAGTTATTCTACAGACTACATTGACTAGTATATGTTGTCGTGAAGTGATAACCGCATTGAAGAACATACTCTGAAGTATATGCTCACCCCATAATTTAATTCTAGTATCCCCGGATTTTGTTCATGGAACTTCTTAATTAAATAATGTCCCAACAATTAAAAAAAAGGGTAGACCTGTGCTGGAGACTTTCACATGAGTGGGGCCTGGGGATTAAGAACCGAGGTAAGCCTTTCTCGTAAAATCTGCGGAGAGGCTGCTTTGAACCCGTGACCTAGTGACTCAGTGAAACAGTTCTCACCACTGCTACAGGCGTGCTCTTCAATGTCCCAACAATGTTGATAGAATTTAATGGGTATTTGATCAGGCCCAGGGGCGGTTTTTTCCACAGAAAAGACAATTTCTTTAATTTTCTCCAACGTAAAGGTTCTAATCGGATCTTCATTCCAAGATCCAGATATTTTCTTATAAGGGTCCAACAATTGGGGTCCATGAAGACCGTGGGTTTACTAGTTGAGACAAACATGTTTTTATAATATTTTTTTTATCATCTCCTTAATGTCACCATTTTCCACTTAAAGGCAGAGGATATTATTTCTTTTTTGTTTTCCCCCCATTAGCAATCCTGTGAAAAAACTCAGTATTGTTGTCTCCTTTTAAAAGCCAATTGGAGTCGGCTCTCTAGGGCTTGTTCAGCTGGTATTAAAGCCGGCTGATAAGCCAGTAACTTCCTTCTTCCTCAAGAAGCTTGAGAAGTTCACTTTGAATGAAAGTTTTTTTTTCTTTTTTAATCAAGGAGGTTGACAGACAAACTGCTTCCCTCTTCAAGCCTTTCCAAAGTCTCTAGTTCTTCTTGAAGAATAAGCTTGTATTTCCTATTATAGCCTTTAATGTTTTGCCCAAACCCTTAAGAAATGATTTGACTCTGTTAATCTTAATGCACCACTTGTCCACACAATTTTTATGTCTAATATCTTTTCCCCAAATCTTACTGATCTAAGGATAAAATCAGGGTGTTTTAGCCAAGTATTTTCAAAGCAGAAAGGCTCCAAAGTTGTTTTTGTCTCTAGATCTGAGCCATGCACTAGAGGGTTATCAGCCTGTTCGGGAGGCCGTATCGTATCGTGGATTATTTACTGCTGGCTGGTTTGGTGTGAGAGAAAAACACTGTTCCCGGCTAGAAATTTACGATCGTTTACGAGCAAGCGAACAGGCTGTTATGATCCAAAGTATATCTAGGGATTTTCTTTAAGTTGCCCGAAGAGAACTCATGGTCCTAGTCTTTTGAGGTTGCTTTGGATGTACTTGGATGGAATTTTTTGGATTTACATCTTTGTAATTATTTGATTAGACATAATCAAAATCCATTGGACATCAACTCAAAAAGTCCAGTTTCAAAGTATTTATGTGAACTTGACGAGAGGCAAGACCAGCCTTTAATGTCTAGTTTTAAGTTTATGATATGTATATCGCAAAGTCTAACGCGCTACCGGTCGCTCACTTCCCCCCCACACACACACACATTCAAGGTTGCAGCCTTTTCTTAGAGTCTTTTACATGTATGTCATTAAAAAAGTTTATAATTACACACAAGCCATTAAAAAAATTGACCGCACACGAGTGCCATCGTTCTGAACTTTTTTGCTCTCCAAGCCATTCCATCGGTGTTCTGTTTGTTTTTCACCGTTATATGTGGGCCCGGTCAGTATAAAGGTCCAAAATACCCTTCTCTCGTCCTATCCTCTTGCTTCTTTAGTCCACACTGCTTGCCCTCGCGTCCGAGGCCAGCGGCGCTCGCGGCCGCCATCCCCTCCGTCAGTGGCGGCGGCGTCCACGCCCGGCCTCGCGCTGTGATTTTATTTTAGAGATCGTATCTGATGGTGAGGTTCTATAGAGAAGAGAAATGACGACTATTCTGCTTACTCCATTAGATAGAGAAGGGATTAATCTCGGAGATTATTCTTTGCCTCTTTGATGTGACTTTTCACGCATAGAGCTAGCTGTAGATTAGTACTTATGTCATTGGGCACTGCTCTGCTCCAATCTAACACGACAACTTCATAAACTCTATTCTAAGAAAAAGAGTTAAAGTTGGAGGCCAACTTCCTGTTTTCTATGAAGTTTTCAAGGGGTACAAGAAAATAAAACTGAAGTAGTAGTGTTCATCCATGTTCATCATTGCTCAACATCATAGAAACCTAGCGTTGATAAACAATAACCATCGTTAGTGTTTAGGTATTTTATTTTGAAACCCTCAACAGGGGAGACCCCTACCTATAGTATTGTACTAAAAGGGTAACAATATGTACAAGATACAGAGCTTCTTTCAAAGCTCTAAAAAAGAGAAAAAGATATATTCCATGAGAAATTCTCGCGCCAAAGCTCTAGTTGTACTTTCGTATCTTGCATGGCTTTGATACAAACCAAACCAAGCTCCTCCTTAAAATTGAACTTCCAACGACAGAGGTTGTAATCTTCTCCATCAAAACTGACATCATTTCTTGTCTTCCATATAATCCAACAAGTTGTGATTATGAGATCTCTGAAAATGGGACTGCCAAAGGTTGTTCTGGCTGAGATCATATCCAAGGGTTGCAGATTCAGGTTCCAAGGTATAGATACGGAATTCCCGCAGGCAGAGCTAAAAGGGCATTCAAAGAAGAGGCAAAAGCTGGTCTTCACAGTTAGTATTACAAAGCACATAATTGTAATCCTCTAGGTCTTTGTTCTTCCTCTCAGTAAATTTTTGTTGTTCAGCCTATCTCTAAGTAGTAACCAGAAGAAAAATTTATGTTTACCCAGATTACTGGAGGACCAAAAGCCAAGAGAACAAAGGCGAAGTTCTCAAATTACGTTGCAGCTGAGCATAAGTTTTTTTTAAAGAATAGGAATCTGAATTCAAGCTATATCTCCAAGTGTCTTCTGTGTTCTCATCCCAGCTAGGTATTATTGGAACATGCAATTGAAAATTAAGTGCATTGAATGCTTTATTTCCCCATTTTTTCCACCTTAAAAATCTAAAGTCTCTTCAATACAATTACACAATAATAACTACAAAAACAATGATGATGATGATGGTGATGATAATAATAATAATTACTCCAAAGAAAAAGATAAAGATGGGAAAACAGATGAATGAATAAAATTCTACAACACCTTTCGCTCATAATCATTGAAGCCCTATTTGGCAATGCACCAATGGAGCCCTCGATTCTAGTGGTGGAGGGTGAAGCAAATTATAAGGCAAACGAATTTAAAAAACAAGAGTGTGTGTTTTGCATCTTCTTGCCTTTGGGGTTCCAATTAATCTATCTGAGGCGCTGGTGCTGCTTCTTGTTCTTGCCTCTGCTGTCCCAAATCACCTAACGAAAGTATTGGAGGAGCATCAAATGGATCTTCCCCTTCCCCAAGAGAAGATCTCATCTCTTTTTTTCTTTCGTAAAAAGAATGGAGAGTTTTCAAATGAACCAATACTACATAACTAAGAAATTATGTCTAGTCAATTTGATTGTCAATCTACCAAAATCATGCCAAATTCTGCTTATAGAGAAGAGAAATGATGACTATTCTACTTGCTCCATTACATAGAGAAGGAATTAGTGTAGGAGATTATTCTTTGGCTCTTTGGTGTGACTTCTCATACGTAGAGCTAAGCTGAAGATTAGTACTTATAAGGTGCTGATTCACTCAACTTGGTCTTCAAGGTTATGCTAGAATGTTTCTAGCAACAATCTGATATTCATAGTTTCAAATATGAATATATTGATAGTACTTCTGTGCAAAAATAGCAGTACTACAGCTAGGATCTTTAGAGGCGGCTGGGAAGCATCTATAAAGGTGGTTGGCCTGGCTGCTCTAAGTTTCCACCTCTAGAAATCAGCAATTTGTAGAGGCGGCTGCCCAATGCCCCTAGAAATCGGATTTCTAGAGGAGGCTAGGAACAACAGCCGGGCGGCTGGGAATAACAATCTCCTTTAAAATTGATTTAGAGACGGATGTAAATCACAACAGCCTCTACAAATATGTGCGAACATATGTTGATATGTACCCATGCATGTGTGAGTGATGAGTGATTATGAAGAGATGATCAGAGCTTTGGTTTAGTGTGTTGAGACTAACCATGGCATGAGTTGTGTCTCTCTAAATGTCTCTTTTCTTGTGATGTGCAGGTGTTGAGTGCTTGACGGTCGACGACGATGGAGAAGGTCAAGTGAGCAGTCTGTTCGCGATGGACCGGGAGTGGTGAAGGGTGAACACGAAAGCTTGGACTGAGGGCCGGAGGATGGATTGTGGATAGCTTGCACTTGGACACGTTGACAAGCAAATGTACATGTCAGGATGGTGGTGAAGACGGTGTTAACTGAAGTCAAGATGATGATCGGACCAAGTCAAGGCAGGCGGGTGACCACTTGGTGATCGGACGGTCGAGGACAAGTGGGGCATGGGTCGACATCATGGAGAAGGCATAGCGACTATGCGACTCCAAGTGGGTTGGCAGTTTGGGCCTCAAAACCGTGGGTGGTTTGCCGGGTTTGGTCCTCAAAACCTGAGATAGGATCTCGGGTGGCATGTGGCATCATTGGAGTCTTGTGTCGAGGTGAAGCA